TGTCACTATCGAATATTACTTTGTAAGTGTTTGAAAGAGGCTGGTTCAGCTCATCAAACGATATTGGGTGGATATGTATCACCTCTCCTGGAGATATTAAAGGTGGAAGAGTAAAGTTGATGGCAACTGGACTAGTAGCAATGACATACTTTTCACTTTGGTGGCTTTGTATGTAAGTTTGCCACTGAACCAAGGTAGTGATATGAGGTAATATTCTAAGAACTTGTTTCTGACAGGGAATGATTGAATCGGTGAATAGGAAATGTCCATAATGTGCAGAATTGTTAGTAAATACAACTGTTGAATTTAACTTCTCGGGATCATCTACAGAAGTATCACTGAAAGATAGAAAGCACCTTTGAGATAAGCCAAACTCAGTTTCCTGGGGTAAGGTTGCATATACTGCGCCACCAAGCTCACTGGCATGATTTGAGTCAAAGACAACTTGTGAACCAGGGTGGATCTCAAACATTGAGAAGCCGTGTAAAGACATTGCCCCACCATTTTTGGCAGTGTTATTGATAAACTGAACTCGAGTGCCTCGTAATACATTGATCTGCACTGACTTTGAGTATATGGCACTGGCTGTGTTATCATTGAATGACACATGCTTTAGGAAGTCAATCTGGAATGATTCAACATCCATTACACCAGACTCCTGCATGTGTAGGGAGTTTACATTCACGACTTGGTTTCTACTAAAAGAGCAGTCATAAAAAAGTGTTTTAGTTTTCAAATCGATAAACGAATGCCCGGCTATGGGTTTGAAATATACAGCTGCTCCAGCTTCAGCCGAGTTCTCAACAAATACACACCTCCTTACAGATACACTGTTGTTCATGTCAATTGATACCAGGCGAGTAAAAAAGCTTAGCGCTCCTCCCAAACCAGCAGAGTTTTTGATGAATTGAACATGGTCCAACAAAACAAAGTTGTGTTTTCCTGGATCTGCCACATCATAATATAACTGAAGAGCCCCACCACTTCCTAGTGGCGCTGTGTTATTTTCAAATGTACACATGTTGACAGAGAGGGAGTTGGTTGTGTCATGGAAGACTGCAAAAATTCCTCCTCCCCAGAGAGCTGAGTTGTTGTAGAACGTACAATCTTGTACTATTAAGAACGCTGAGCCTTCCATGTTTATATAAATTCCACCACCCTTTCCATAACTGTTTTCATTATCTGTTAGGCCTCTAAACCCAATGTGACTCTCTTCTGTGCCTTCTCCATTTATTGCTGTGTTACCTTGAAATGCACAGTTCATGATGAAATACATTGTACCCTTGTCGTTGAGAGTTTCAGTTCCAGGAGTACAGCTTGACATATCTCCAGGAGAAGGTGTAATTTTAATGTACAGACCACCTCCTCCACTGTGTACTGATTGATCATTGAGTGTGTCCCTGACTGTATTACCAATAAAAGAACTGTTTATTACTTCTACCTGGCCATGAACATCATGCATTGTTAGACCTCTCCCAATACTTTGGTGAAAGCTTGTTTTACTGATCTGAACATTAGCACTACTGATGATGGTGACAGCAGAATGGTACTGTACATTGTTTATTAACTGACTTGTTCCACAACCTTCTAGTTTGATATTGAAAATTTTCACTCTCAGGGCAAACTTTATTACCAGCCCAGATCCTCCATTGGTAAAATTGACACATTTGATGATGGAAGCAGTTTCTCCACCACTTTGTATTGTGAGACCTTCCACATGAGATACTGTCAAAGTCTGGTGCAGCAAATGATTTCCAAACAAGACAATATCACTGTTATTGAGAAGAGACGCATTAGAAAACACATAGCCGAGGGTTTTACATGGAGAAGAGCTGTTTTGCTGGAGACATTGAGGAATATCAAGTCCAGTTTTGTTGTTGATGATAACTGATTTACCAAAGACCCAAACTAGGGCTGTCACTAAGACAATTTTTAGCATTGTGCAACTCCTCCGTTGCACGCACTGCGTGTGGATGCTACCTTTTATAGTGCTAACAAGATCCTTTCAGGGGAACCATAACATGAACAAAAGCTCAAAAACAACCTGCTAATGGATCTGACTGTCTTTGATGCCCACACACACACACACACACACACACACAATACATGCATTGTGAGACGCCTTCACATGGGATGCTGTCAGAGTCTGTGTGAGCAAAGGCCAATATCACTGCTATTGAGACTAAGTTTCGCCTTGGCCAAATGTGGTAGTTTAGCAGACAGACAGGGTTTAAAGACAGGCAAGTGCATGCTAAACAATTCATCGACACCTAGGACGCCATGAGCTGCCCTAGGTTGGACTCAAACCCACGGCACTCTGTTCTCTAGACGAGTGCTCTACCACTGACCTACCAGGGCAACTCATGAACTCAGCAGGCTGGGCTCAAAGTCTGCAATACATGAATGAAGGCAAACCCAAGTTGATGGCAGAGAAACCCTAACACACTCAGTATATACTATTGCCTCATTGAGGATGCTCACCTATAGGGTTGAAACTAACTTCAGCATTTTGTGAGTCCTGAACGTCATGCACTGCATGTGGTTTGCTGTCTTGTCACAACATCCTTGCAGGAGTGCCGCGGCCGATTCACAAAAACACATTTTCACAAAACTAACTTGCTAAACAACCTGTGGCTTCATTAGTATAAGTTCAGTGTGTTTGTTGAGCATGTTTTCTTTTGAACAAGAGCAACAACAATTTCTTCAGAAGGTTATTGTCAAAGTCAAAAAATATCTTAGCTGTTAATGCATGTGCCTTCCTTGGCAAGTGTCTTTTGTTGTGTCCCCTGCCAGACAGTTCGGTCGCCAAACTCTCCATCAACAAAAATGCAGCAAAATGTGCTAGCATGAGTAAGGGACCCTCTTAGATAGAGATGATCTCTTACTTGTTTCAGCCCCATGCTAATATTTTAGTGTATTTGTTTGGCTTCCTCAGCTAAAACAGAATTGGACACAAAAGTAGCAGAATGAGGCAGTGAAACATACTGCCCATATGTTTGCTCTAGGAAAATTTCGAACGTCGGCTGCTACAGGCGTATTCCCCCCCTCGCTCACTTCCAAAGAACCACAAACTGATCGGGTGGCGCTATGGATTTTATACCTAGCAGCAGAGGTGCATCGCACTCACTGCACACGCGAAAAGAAGGCGTGGCGCGCGCGCACTAGTACCGCGGTGCGCGGCGCTATCCGAGAAGAGAGAATGTGTTCAAGAGGTCAAGGTATCAGAGAAACAGTGAGGGTTCTGCTCACCCTCTTAGCTGACTGCAACTGTCCGCATATTCCCCGTGAGTCCTTTCGTCTAGCCAAATTCAACAAGCCAGAGGCCCTTGAGCCCTTCTGGAGAACTCTTCACCATCTGGCATCTCTTCACTTACTGTTGCAGTCTGGTGACCTCAGAGACCTTAGTGATGCGGCCAAAGATTGCAGCCACTCTAGTGATGTCCCACACATAGCTCTCTGTGTGAGGAAACTAGCTCTTGATCTTGGCTACGAACGACCTCAGTTTTACGTGGAGAGAGTTGGTTCACGGGAACTATTGCTCTTCTTTGCTTGGCTGATTCAAGAGGCATCACTTGTGTCACGGCTACAGATCTATCATGTGTGTGCTGCGCTCCACACCATGTCCATTCCGTTGTCTCCCTCCAAAACATTTCTCCTGGACAGCATCGAGACCACCATGGCCTCTTTCGATGCACAGTTACAGGCACTTGTATCTTCTGCTGCTGACTCCCCCTCTCTTGAAGGCACTCTGAGAAAGATTCAGTGGCTGAAGGGGACACTCACAGGGAGCGGGAGGTCTGTAGAGAACGCCCACAGAGCAGCCGTTAGACTCTCACAGAACATCCTCCATTCTACAAGGAGCCAAGCAAAGAGGGCATCCGGACTATGTCTACACGACCTGTTCCTCTTGAGATACCCAGATCAGCTGGCAGCCTGTGTGAAGAGACTGGAGTGGCATGTGAGTTGTCTGGAGGGGCTAGCTAGATGGAGGCAGCACGAGACCCTCTTCTGGCAGTGGACGGAAAGTGTCCTGGACATACTGGCCCACCCCCAACAACCTAACGTTGATGATGGTGAATCGGTGGAGTTAGGTGAGGGCGATAAGCTGAAGGGAGAGGTGTATCAGTGTCAGCTGAAACTGAGCAGTGCAATAGGCGAGTGTCTTCAAAAGTTTGGAGCAAGCAGGGAATCGAGTCTCAAGTGCAAGGAGCCAAACAAGACTAAACAACAACTCCGTCTCCAAGGAGTGGCTGTAGAGAACAGTCTGCTGCGCCACAGTACACCAGCTCAACAACAGCTGCCTCAAGCTAGAATGAAGGAGTCTCCCCACAATCAGAGGGAGATTGAAGGAGAACTGAGAAGACTACGGGCCAGACTGCTGGAGGAAGAGAGGTCCTTGCACACACTCCAGTCCTCCCTTGCCACATGTGTTGTGTAGTTCATGCAATGAAAGCTACCTTATATAGTGCACTTGCGTCCAGATCCCGTGAGCACGCACTGCCGTGCCTGAAATGATAATTCCTCTGGGCCAGCCTGACTAAGGCAGCTGTTGTAAAATGTGAGCTGGTCCCGCAGGTCACCCCCAGCCGTGCACGAGGCCATCATTGGTTGCAATGGTGGCTCGAAATTTAAAAAAAAGCACAATATATAATTGGTATATCTTGCTAACAAAGGTGCATTGAAAATTTTATGTTGAGTCAGATAAGGTAGTTGTCAATTGGTAACATTCTTCCACTATTGAGAGAGTCATCAATCCACTGTTCCTTTACGACCACAGCTTTCCTCTTCTCTGAATCCAGATCAGGAACCTGCAGATAATAATGTAGTGTATACCATAATGAAGAGTTACATTCAGCACATCGATAATAAATAACAGCACATACGTAATTAATTATTATTGGGAGGTAGGCAGCGAATAGGGCGAGCTGTTTCCAAAATGTGTGCTTTAGGTTATTTTTTTGACCATCAATACTGCCTTCACCAGGAAGAAGGCCTGTGCAGAAGGAAAGCAGCCTGACAATTGCCTGCGCATTAAATCAGATCTTCCTCTCCTGGTGTATACCGTAAGGTTTTCTTTTATGATGTAGTAGAATTGAAGCTGAAGGTTTGGAGATGAGTTCAGCTAGCAACTTCATTAATCCAAGTAAGGATGGAAAGATGACAGTGTTTATGACAAGAAGTTGGTTTTTCTGACCTACAGTGCTGCCCAAGTGAAAACATCCACCCTTGAGAAGAAGGTCTATAGTTACTGCCAAGGTGGTCGACGAAATAACAGAGCCGAAGAAAATGTAAAAATCGCCTGAATATCCTGTGAACTGTTTATCCCAAGTGAGTAGCTAACAGACTACACGATTGACACGTGCATTTGAGAACTACTGACATTGCCAAATATGCACGTATTGCCTCAGTTATCACTTCATACACAGCACTGTCCCTGATTAAACTGCTACTGATAATTGCCATAGGGAGATCACTTCTTCGGGAAGACAATTCTTCGCGTACATGGAGCGGATCAAAACCTTTTCGATAGCATCGCGGACGATAAGAAGGTACCTGTATTCCTAAATGCTATTGGTGCAACTGTATACAGCACAGTGGTGATAAATGTGTTGCGTTCGCGGAAATTACTACTGAACCCAGGTTTGTGATTGTGGAACATTTCTACAAAAGAGATCAAGCGGCGGCGGGGGAATCGTACTTTGCGGAGCTCCGACGACTAACAGCAAAGAGTGGGTTCGGTGAGCAGCTGGATGAATGTCTTCGTGATCGTTTCGTGTGCAGCTTGAAAAGCGAGGCGACCAGCTCAGAAGAGATCAGCTAAGGCACCTCAGCTTCCCGACGCATCGCTAGGCTCAATTGCCCAAGTGATTCTGCTCATTCGTGTCCTATTCTCAGTGGCCATTTTCTGTTCACTAGATATTCACTGCTTTTTCCAAGTGGAAAGATGCCGATCGGTGCAAGAATTCTCTCCCTGAAGCGAAAGCTTTGTCGCAAATCTAGAAAAACACGAGCCAAGGCAAAGCGGGTGGGGATGGCCGCAAGACGCCTCATCGTGAGGTGGTCCAAGAAACTGACACCCTGTGAGTTAACATTCCAATGTGTTTACTGCACATCAACTGCAGGTCAAAGGAGGTACCGCCGACGCCGCTATGCAAGTAGCAACAGGGAAATCCAGGATCCCTGCACGGAGACTCTGAGTCCTCCTGACGCACCAGACAGGGAGCTGGAAAAGTGAGAATCTGACTGGTTCGCAAAGTATTTTTACGATTTTTTTTACATAAAGCAGTGCTGGAGTTGAAGATGTGGAGGCAACTAAAGTGAAGTTGATGGATCGATGACGTGAGTGTATGTAATCTTTCTAAAACACTTTAGCTACGTATATTTCCGACCTTCAGTGCTTCTCAAGGAGAAGGCCTCTACAGAAGTAAAAGATCATTCAGCTAGCAACTGCATTTTTCTGAAGTACAATGCAATGATGTGAGTGTTATGGATGAGCTCTCCAGTAATATTTGAAGTTGGTTTTTAACTTTTTACACATGCAATGCTGCTAGAGTTGAAACAATGGAGGTGGAGAAAATGTAAGAATTTCCCTGCATAATTATGTGAAGCACTGTTTGCCCTTTCCGCTGATGCTGTGACGTAGCTCTAGCTAATTGTGCCATGTGCAGTGTGGAGCATAATATTGCAGCTGTGGAAAATATTTCTTCATGTAGCTATCAGCCAAGAAGAGCAACCAGATGCAAAGCATGTACAAGAGATTGCTTATTGTCTTCTCGATCAATGTGTTATTGTACGTGGTCTCGGTCTCCATAGCTCTCCTCAAGAGCCTGTTTCCTCTCCTGATGTCAGTGGAGAGAATGATGAGAAGGAGGACAGGTACGAAATATAGGCTAGCAATCATACTGTATCGCTGAATGCTCCTATCGTTGTTGCTACAGCTCTCTGCAAGGTTCCCTTTCACGTGACACTGTTTCTCAACTGGACACAAAGTAAGAAAGTTCTTGTCTTATTATATTACAATGCTATACCATTATGTTCTCTCTCTTCCCTCTTCTCAGCCCTGCTGTAGAGTATTCTTCACCACAAGACTGTGATATCAAACCATGACACACAGTCAGAGCCTAAAGACAGGTGTGAACTACTCCAAGTTTGGGGATTGATCTAGAAACTCTTTTCTTCTTGTTACAGTTCTCGACAAGATTTCTGTTTGTGCGAGACAGTTTTTGATTGTCAGTAGGCCTAAGTAGTCAGTAGCATAATTTATAGCAAAATAGGTAGCTTGAAGGCATTGGGCATTATTCGAGAAAAATAGGTGAGCATCTGCCATTGCGCATGTGCAACGGGAAGAGGGAAGATGTGACATCTGCCATAGACCTTGGTGGAAAGATCATAAGAATGAACTTCCACTGTGGGCGAGTGCATGTAAACGTGCTGCTACTGTTGCAGCCGTCCTCTGCGGCAGCGGAGCGTGTGTTTTCTATTCTCTCTAACTCTTTAAACTCACAGCAAGAATCCTCATTGGAAGATTATACAGAACTTTCTGTCATTCTACAGTATAATAATTGTAGTAGTCACTGAATAATTATTTTCATTGTGTAATGTTTGGTTCTTTGTTCATCGATCTCCTTTTTTAACTGAAGAAAAGTGGGTCACTTCGTGAGCAAAATAGGTAAAAGCGAAAGCAAAATAGGTTTAACTTATGAACATAAAAGAAAAGAAAAATAGGTAAAATTTATTCAGGCCTAATTGTCAGGGCACTCCCCCTGCCACACCCACCCTCCCCTCTCCCCCCACTCCTGTGACGAGGATTCTGATGATGATGACGAGAAAGTTTGTGAGCCAATTGGTGTGAAGCTCGAGAATATCTGGGCTGATGCGAACAAGACCACTTCTGGGGCAGCTGGCGGGTTTTCACATGCTTTGGAACTCTCTCCTACCATCCAGTTTCTAGCAACAGCACACGCTATACTAAGTGCGATGTTATGACATTGCAAGGGAAAAAGAAAAGCGGCGTAAGATTCACAGAGGAGGAAGTAGTGGGCAGTCATATATAGTTACCAAGATGCTTCTCCTCAGAAATGAAGGAAGCCTCGAAATAGCTTTAACCCCCCATCACATAGTTGCTGGCTTTGTTCTTCATCATCTGAAACAGAATGTACATAACGTTTCAAAGGTCCTGGATTCTCCACCTTCTGAGCTTCCTTAGATGTAGAGATGAAGCAGGGAATAGGGGTCGAAGAAGAAGCAGACTGAGATCATTACAGAGGAGGAATTATTGTGGGGCAAGGGGGTGCTTTCTGATAAAACACCTCAACGACTCCTGGACACTACGGTGTTCTATAATGGTTACATAGAGGCTAAGTGTATCTATTGCCAGCTACAACGCAGTCCTGGTCAGATTGAGGTGATAGAGTAATCAAATGAAAGGCTATACACCAAACATATTGGCCAGCGGCTTGAAGGAGCACCACACAAACCTCATGGTAATAAAGCATCATGCAAACTTTGATGATGTGCCTCAGTAATGCTTTGTGCGCCTTTTCAAAGAGTATAGTCGCTCATGAAGGAGCGTTTTACATGCAACCAACACATAATCCAAAAAATCACCCACTGGCACTCAAGGCACTGGTGAAACCTGTCTTAACGATTTATTACCGATACTCCATTGGATTGACGTATACATAGAGCTCGAAGAAGAACCACCACCAGTAAGTTCCAGCAGAGTGGCTGTGAATGGATATTTGAATGAAACGTTCTGCAGGATTAGCATTTGGAAATGTTGAGTGGCGATAAAAATAGCATTCATTAAGAAAGTGCATTTCTGCAAGAATTTAGCAAACTACTCCTTTTGCCGAGTAATTGGTTATGGAATGTACTGGGCAGTTGGTGTTTATAGTTACAAAAGACAACTGAAAGTCAGAGAGAAGCTGTACTAAACCAGATAACAAAGATCGCTAACCGTCCGAACCACCGTCAGTCGGAATATGGCCCCTATGTTCGGACAGTGCTTGATTGTAAAGCTAAAGAGACAACGGAGACAACGGAGACAACGTTATGTACCGAGAAAACCTCCACATTATAATACTACAGCTGAACACGCCAGTAGCTACTGCGTCGTACAGCTGTGCGCAAACCGCCACAATTATGCACAAAGACTCCGCCCACGTGCTTCAAATGATTGCACATGCGCATTTGAGGTAAAATTACGCGGATACTAGTTCCCGAAGGGACGAACTTACGGCATGTAACTCGCCTAGTTGTAGGTATGCAAGACATTGCGGTCCGATAATTCGAAGGTGTCCGATAAAGAGTGGTGTCCGGTGAATGATGCAGTACTCTATACCTGATCATGCGCATGAGCTCAACTTTCAGGCTAGGCGCCTCCCTCCCGGACCCCGCCCCTCACTGATAACAAAATGGCGTGGACTTGCAGTCATCTATTGAACAGGCCACTGTGCAAGCACTCTCCGATGGAGAAAGCTGTGCCTGGTCACACGTGGCCCTACAAGGCTATGCGCATGCGCAGAGCGGAGAGTCTCCGACAATATCTTTCCGGCGATTTAGCCACAATATAATTACCTGATGATTTAGCCTTCGGACGATTTAGCTATACCTATGCAACGATTCAGCTATATTCATCCAACGATTTAGCTATATCAATGAAACGATATAGCTAAACGCTGCGAAAAGTGGTAGTCTGGTGAACGCGAATTTTGAGACAAATAGCGCCACTTTCAGTTTTCATTTACATTCATCAGGTAACATTAACAGCAATTACTATTTTTTTCTGCAGTAAACCTCACTACGGGAAAGAGTAAACCTCAGCTTTGCAATCTGATTGGTCAATTCGAATACATTTGAATACAGCTCACTCTAAAGGAACAGACACACACACAACCCAAATACAATGCCTTTTGCTCTATACACATGACAAACTGCCTAACCTGAGCACCAGTCCTGACAATGATATGTGTGGTCAGATCGGTGACGTCACTGGTTACATCTCCGTCATATGCCACCACATACCTCTCCCTCTCCCTCTTTAGCCCCTCATCTCCCTCATAGCCATGGAGGTAGGCCACCACCCCTGAGAACACATCAGGGAGTGGCTTACATCCAGATGGTAGGAGGGAAGAGGGAGGGTGGGGAGGTGGGGGGAGGTGTGGAGGTGGGATATGTGAGGTAGTGGTGGGGAGAGATGAAGACGAAGAGGTAGCATGACTGCGTGGAAAGTAGTATCTGAACACTATGTCAAGGAATAGCATTCAGACAACACTGCAGCCATGCTGCAAAGCACTCATTCTTGAACACACAATAAAATGCCTCCATAAAAGTTCACCTGGCTGAATGGCGGAACTTTTGTGGAAACATATTTTGACAATAATATCATAAGAGAGCAACTTGTTGAACATTTCATGCAGATAAGGAGTGTGGGAGGGATACATGTAGGTGGGGATGGCAGCTGAAGCGAGATGTTTCCTGACCAGTCTCTCTGTGCCATACCAGTTGAAGTGAGGGGTGGAGTGCCCAATACGGGGGAGGTGGACACTGGCTGTTGGGTAGAGCGGGTTCAACGTTACTTAAATGTTGGTGAACCATATGCAATGTGGCAATTGTAAGTGCACACTCAAGTCATACCAAGTCATTGACTCCCCTGAGGACTTTGTGTCAGTGCAAGAGAATATTACCCATGTTTAGACGTCGGCAGGTTCAAATTGACCAATTAGATTGCGTAAAAGAAACTCGCTCTGTTGCTGAGAGCTCGCCGCGACGACTTCAAACTCGCTATATCCGACGCTTCTTCGATGAAAGGCCTCTCTAAGATGCAAAAAGAAACTAAACTGAAGACCTTTTTAGCTTCCCCCGGCAAGAGCGAGTCTTTCGGAAGACGGCGGACCTGGACGATTTTGAAGGCCGGCCGGCCTCCGTCTAAACAGGTTATACTGCTTGTCAATGGAAATACACGATTTAGACGGCCTCGGAGCCCTTAGTAGCGTCTTCGCTGCGCTCAGACAGCTACAGCTCAGGGCCCCTCGTGCCGTCTAAATCGCGTATTTCCATTGACGCGCAGTATAACCTATATTTATAATTGGTAAAGGCAAAATGCCCTGACACTGAATGGCAATAAATGTAAATTTATGATGATATCAAGGGAAAAGGTTTCTTTCAAACCCTCATCTCCTCTACATCTGGGAGGTCAATTACTGGAGTGTGTTAGCTCCTACAAGTACTTAGGAGTGCACATATCCTCTGACTTATCGTGGAGTCAGCACACTCAGCATGTCTGTATGAAGGCCAAGAAGATGATTGGCCTTCTTTATCGGAACTATTACCAACATCTTCCAGACACAATGCTCTTGCAGCTTTCCAAGTCACTGGTTCGACCTCACCTGGAATATGCTGCTGCAATTTGGTCTCCTTCCTCACAGAGTGATAAACTACTTTTAGAAAAGGTTAAAAAATTTGCTCTGCGAATGGTTACAAAGTGTTGGGATCTCAGTTACATTGATTTGCTGGATAAAACTGGTGTTCTGTCTCTTGAGAAACGTAGAGTGGTGTCTAGACTTTGTCTCATGTACAAAATTGTGAACAGCTTGTGTTTTTTTGACCTTGATGTTTTTTCTTATTGCACCTCCCGTTCCTATCATTCTCATCCTTTTTCTCTACACCACCCTTTCTCCCGTACTAACTCCATGTACCACTCATTTGTTCCTGCAACTATTAGACTGTGGAACAGTCTTGATAGTATTCTATGTTCTGAGTCCTCTTTTTCTCTGTTCAAACGTCATCTTATTTATTTTTATTCTCATGGGAATCATGTCTCGTATTAGCAATTGAGTGCTACTTACATGTATTCCTTGCATCTGTGCTAAACTATTTAAAAAGAAAAAATTAAAAAATTAAAAAGTCTAAGCATAAGACGGAGGAGCAGTGCTCTCTATTTGTAGCCACCACTTTAGCGAAATCTCTGTGAGTGTGCCAGTCGAGCTATGTGTAGCAAGGCACTGCTAGAAGACGTTTGAACCACGCTCCAGGTATGGTGTTCGGTTCCACAGACATGTTATTTAACAGATGTCAGTCTTGGAGATCAGATGCACGCATGCAGGGAGGAGAGATTAGACACTCAAGATAAAGACATTCTACCCAGACTAACATTGTGCAACACTTCCTAGCTAGGTGGATCCAGAAACACTGAGGGGCTGACTTGGCATACCTACCAACCTGCAGATGAACCTTTACTTGGAGAAATGTGTCAAATTTGCTTGATTTGGAGTATTTTTGCTTGAAAATGCTGTGTGTCCATTCAAAATGTATAGGCATGGTGCATCACAGGTTAGCACAAAAAAGAGGGATTTGGCGATTTTCTGGTGGGATAGGCAGTATTTTTTGCTTGATTATCAAGCAAAAAGCGGGATGGTTGGTAGGTATGACCTGGGTGAGCTGACCACGTTGGCTTGCCCACATGCACAACAAAAGGGAGAGGTCTGCGGGCTGCTCCCCCGCCAAAAACGGCCTAGGAGCGACGCTAAACCGCTTATACACTCGACAGGTGGTTGTATGTGTAACCGGTCAACGCTTATTGCGCGCGAAGCGTATATTATACGCGTCAGCATGCATAATTATGTTTAGCGCTTTCACCCACTTTCTCCGTCCTCCCTTCCCCCAGAGAGTTATCACCCCCCCAGGGAGTTATCGCGTCCCTGAGAGTTATCGCGCCCCCAGGAAGTTATCGCGCCCCATGAGAGTTAGTTATTATGGTGCGGCAAATGGGAAAAAACTCGTTAGTGCACGCACGCTTTAGCTTACGCGCTAACGCGCCTTAGCCATGCTGTCTAACCGCTTTATTTCCATGCTAAGTGCACCGTGCTAAAGCGATTTGCTGGCTAGTCTATGCAGTCTCTGTAGTATCCCGCGTGAAAAAAAATCCGGCTAAAAACTGGAATGGAGCATTGATGCGCGATGGGCAATGAGATGTCAAGACGCGTTGAAAAAAAAACATTTTAGCTAGACTAGCCAGCTATGGTGCGCCAAATGCGAAAAAACTCGTTAGTGCACGCACGCTTTAGCTTACGCGCTAAAGTGCACGGATTACGCGCTAACGCGATCAAGTTCGCCTAACATACCGCGCTAAAGCTAAAGCGAGGTCGTCTAATGCGTCAAAGCGCTTTAGTCAAAACATCACAACGCATTACTTATCGCGCTCCGACATCCCGCAATTCAACCCGTGTTTGAAAAACTGGTTCGTTTGTAATGCGCAGCGTGTTGGTTAGCGCGCAATAACACCAGAGCGATCCGGCTAAAAACAGGTTGG